TCCAAATATGAAGCCAAAGATAGAGAAATCATCTGGATGATGTGAGAAATGATTAGTTGAACCATCCATTCCATCTCCACTTTCTGAAATGGTGTATGTACCCAGCCAATAAAAAAATTTATCATGTCATTAATTAAATTATTATTATTAATCACCATTTTATTTTTATTTCAAATTTTAAATCAATATATTAATGAAACTTAATTAGTCAACAGCTATAACACAAATGATATATTAGATGTACATATTTTATTCTTTTGTCAAATTACTTTTTTTTTTAATTAAAGTCTGTTTGGTACTCCAAAATATTTTCAGATTTTCATTACCAAAATGTTTACTTGAAGCATGTTTAAGGTAAAAATATTTGATATATTTCAAATTTTATTATAATCGATTCTCTAAATATATTTCTAATTTAATTAATTTGCAAACATTTTTATGTCAAATCAATTTAAAATTTGTAATAAATTAATTTGCCAAAAATCGACCAACCATCATAGCGGTTATGAATAATTTTTGCCTAAATTTTATTATAATGTAACTTAAAAGAAAGACATGTGTTTAATTTATCATAAATAACCTCTTAATTTTTAAAAAAATAAAATCATTTTTTTTTTTTTTTTTTTTTTCCAGATGGAACATCGAAGCAGATGAAACCAAAAATTTCATTTTTTTCTAAATTTTATTTAATTTAGTTCAATTTTATCTTTTCATTTAACTTCAGTCTGGTTTCTTGATCTCTCCTGAATTTTGAACTTCCTAAATGGTAAACACCAGGAAAGCGAATAACATCTAATCGGATCGAAGCCATGTAGTAGAGTCAGATTTGGAAATCTAGGCTTTTGGATCAATGAAGGAAGAGCAGGCTCCCTGTCATCAGTAAATCAAGGAAGGTTGCATGGTTCAAAATAGAAAAATTTTACATCTATATAAATAATTGGTGGTGATCAATAGGATGAAAACAAGTTGATAAGTAAAAGAAAGGGATAGCACGACTGAGTTAGTGGAGAGTGTGTGGCCAAATACAAAGAAGAAGAAACATAAGAATTGTTAGATCTTTATGATGCTTTGGCACCATGTTAAATCAAAATCTATTGATGTGATCAGAGTTTTCACCAAGCCAATTGATGTATTTTCTTGTCACATTCTTGTCCTGGAAAAAATGCCTCAACTGGGAGAGATGCTGGTTTCTCCTTATAAGGAGATTCCTTCAAGTGTATTATTGGAACCTTTTATATACCTTCAAAGGAATTTATCCTTCAACAATATAATCCCAAAATTGCAAGTCTATAGGTGACTCATCAACGACTAAGTTCTTTTAGAGAGTGTCAATAATGTAAACAACATTGCCTAAACCCAACTCAGATACTACCCTTTTGAGATTTTATTCTAAAAAAGATGTCATTGGGAAGAGATGGCAGTCTCTCCTCATGAGTAAAGAGATTTTCCCAACTCTAACCAATATGTACATGTTATAGCCAAAAGAACAACTAAAGGGGATATTTGCCTCTACCTGTTTGACCTACATTCCGGATTGTTGTTGTCAAAATTTCATCTAACTCAAGTGAGTTATTGTTCTCTCCGAGTTTTGTGATGGAAAAAGTACTAAATTTTGAATATCAAATAATTAACATATATAAAATGTATGTGACTAAAATAAACTTAAATCAAATACAAACAGTTCAATATTTTCTTTAATGATTGGAAGGTATCCTATAAGACAAATTTTTGAATGTCATTACCTAGCCATTGACATTGGCTTATATAATTCAAAACAAAGATCGAAGTGGAAGAGAACAATCTCCAACAAAGTATCAATCTTCATGCATTGGATTAATTCAATAGTGAGTCTGCGTACTGCAGAGATAAACAGATTCTCCAGAACTAACCTGGCAATAGCATTTCTCCGACTTTATAAACACAATAGTATGTTGCCAGCACTTATCAAAATCAAAGGTAACTTATTAATATCAAACAAAAAGAGCAAAGCTCTTCCGCAGATACAAAAAAACAGATGCTTGTTCACTTCCAGCCCAAAAGCAGTTTTAACATTGAATCAGACTTCTAAAAAGCCATACGCTAACTTCAGAGAAAGTTTCGGATGTCCAAAGACTTCACGTCAGCCATTTCTTCATCTTTGAATTCCTCCCTGGAAAAGGGAAAAAAAAATGAAAACTATTCTTTAAGACTGGTGTCAATTGTCAAGTTAGACCACAACTATTCATCAATTAATAACAGACGGAGAGACTTGATTGACACAGTAATGCAGTAACCCTACTTTCAAGCTGGGTGACCACATAAGATCTGCATGTCCCAACAACTCATGCTAAGCAACTCATGCAAACCCAAAACTAAGGCAAAGATAACAGCATCAACTAGCAGCCATACATGAATAGTGAAGAAACTTAAAATAACCATCTAAACAACTATAAGATGGACCATGCATCTAAGTTTCCTGTCCATCAAATCCTGAGCCCAATATCTAAAACAGTTCCACTGCAGTTCTCCACTACCTAGCTAACTCCCAGTCAAGATAGCAACATGTTTTGCCTTTTGGTATCAACTATAAAAAGAAAGGAACCATCAATATACCGCTTCTTCTGCGTTTCCATTGCTTCTTGAGCTTTCTTCTTTATCTCCTCCAACTGTGTCTTGGCAATTTTGAGCTCTAACTGTTCTTCATACTTGGGGAGATCTTCCTTTCTAATTCCAAGCCTAATAGGACAACATAAAACAAATTGATATGTTTTCTATTTAACTGAACCAATTTATAAAAGAGAAATCCAATGCAATCAAGATCATGATTACAGTTCTGTTAGTTATAAAATCTCCAATCATTCAATTCTGGATATAGATAGTAAGGTGAGCAAATAGAACAAGAATATTTTGATTGGCTCCCAAAAGAAACGGAAACGGGTCATTGATGTGGGAGAGATTCTAAAATACCGTTACCTTCCAGGATTAAGAATCAATTAGTCTTACAATCTAAAGGGACAAGATGTGGATATTTTGACTTTCACCTCAAAAGAAAAGGCAGGAAACAAGGAGATTGTTAATGAAAAGATGCTTACTTCTTGTTAATCTTGTCAAATTCTGCCGTAAGAAGAGCCATTCCTTTTTTGTCATTCCTCATCAGGGGCTTTTTAATTTCTTTTTCAACTTTATCTAAAGCATCCATCATCATAGCCTCAATACCAAGCTCATCGATAAGGCCCCTCCTGCATAAACCATCGCCAAAAAGGGCGAAACCGCAATATAAAGAAAATGGAAATTAAACATGCAATTATGAAAGATAAACCTTTGAATGTGAAAAAGAAAATTGAAAAGAAAAATGTTTAATATTGCATTATAATGGCGTGAGTTTCTTATTGAGAAAAGTGAAAAGCTGTGAGAATAAAATTCTCAGCACGACTAGGAAACTGTTGTAGCTCCTAATAAGATGCACAACTATGTTAAAGTGAAAGATGGCAAGTAACTTTGCTTGCCAGAGCCCATCCATATCTTAAACATAACATTTATATAGGAGTAAGTACATACTTGGTACGTATTTCCTGCAAGGTCAACAAATATGTTCGAGCATCTGGAATGCCTTTAGTTCGCGTTTGAATAGTATATTGAATTCGTTGAGACTCTGAGAACAAGTCAGCCCTGAAAGAGATAAAAATAAAATAGGCAAATTTATCAAAAATCCAGCTAGTAAAATTTCAGTTAAGTCCAAAACAGCAGAAAGAGTAGTGCTTCTGCATCCAACCCCAGCATTTTTAAATGATATATATTATGGCACATAATAGCAACCATGCTAATCAGGATTTATTTTATTCAAGTATCCAATCCTTTAGGATTCCATAGATGTTCCTAAATTATTATTAGTTTCCTGTTTGACTAGTAATAGTATTTAGTTCCTAGTAGAATTAGCATTGGCATGTATACTTCAGGAAATTTTTGTCTAATCCTATTTGGTAAAGGTTACATACGACTCTAAATAACTTTGAGATCATTAACAGTCAGAAAAATTACTCGATATCTTGGTTGCAAGATTTTTAATCAATCCTTTGGTATGATCTTAAGGACCCTAGGCTTGATCAGTTACTCAAAATACACAAGTAGGAAAAATTAATGCCAATTTGTCCAACATCAACATATTAGTAGTATCAAACAAATTCATAACATTTTTTTTCGCATGAATCAATAGGCTTAGAATGAAAGAGACAAAAGGAATGCACTTGTGAATCAACCAAACTAATTTGGTAACACTATCAATCAGAGATGTAAATGTACATAATCATAAAACTTAAAGATCAAGGTTGGAAATTAATCAAAACTTTAAAATTTCTTGAAACAGTATGCTGCTTCTCTCACAACTATAGGCATGCATTTGGAAACAACGGACTAAACAAAATTTACAAGCTTTCTTGTTCCTTGGTGACATCTAATACTGCTTATAGAATAAGCAGAGAGAAAAAGAGAGGGAGGGAGAGAGAGAGAGAGAGAGAGAGAGAGAGAGAGAGAGCCTTAAATTATTAATCATATTATAGAAACATCTAAGCATTTTCATCATTTTTACTGTTTACTCGAAATACTAAACGGAAGCAGATAAATGTTCCCATTTGACTTTGCAGTTTTGTGTTGAACTTGTAGGATTCTTTGTATTTGTAGTGCTGTGTGGAACTTGTACCATTCTGAGTTGCATAAAACAGCTTTTGATTGGTAACCAGTGGAAAATGTAGCAACATGAATACCCCAAACTCACATTCACATAAACTCTATGTTGTCCATTGCAACTCCAGCTAATCACTGCCTAAAAGTGTATAATCTGAACAATTCAACTCACTGTTCCCCAGGCCCATGATTTGCTCTCACCCAACCTCCCCATCCGCTAGAAATTTACCAGTTCTATTTGCATGTTTTACCCAAACTGCAATAGCCCATGATTAGTGAACTACCATAGTAAAAAATAACAAGGATGTAGCGCAGCTAAATGCAAAAGATATGTCAGACAAAAATGAAAAAAAATAAAACCAGAGCTTTTAGAATTACAACAAGTAAAAACAAAGAAAAGGTACTCACTTCTCCCTAACTGTCTTCATAACATTAGCATAGTGCGTAACAGCAGCTGGATCTTCTGGATCTATGGTGATCTTCTCCTTTCGAAGTACCCCCATTGCAGTCTCAAACTTCTTTTTGACATCCAAAAAGATGTTCTTCAACATCTCTTTTGAGCATTGAAAGTAATTTTTCAGTTACCATCAAGAAACCTTTTTAGAAATTAAACTTCATGCACATCAGTTATGTATGTTGTTGGACATAAAGCATCAACAAATAGTTACTCCTTCCAGTCACATTTTCATTCCAAAGGAAAAAATAGAACCATTCCATGGTCTTTTTTTATATGATAGTTCTATCAAACATGTGGGAAAGAGAAACACAAAAGGAAAATAACAACACAACTGTGGAAAGCTATCCACTAGTTGATTAGGATCGCAGTTCACCAACAACAGCAATTCTTCTAGATTATCATATAGCCACTAAATAAGCAAACTATCAGATTCTCATGCATTTCAGGACAAGTAGTTTGGAGAGTTTTTTTAAAAGACAATTTTTGAAGATTTTCCTTCAAAAAAATACAATTTTGAGATTATTCCAAGTAGTACTCCAACTGTCCCCTAATGTAAAAGTCAAATTTCACTATTCCTTCCATTAAATGATTAATTTTTTCTAATAGTAAATCACTAAAATCACAGAAAATTTAGATGCTCTCATGGAAAGTATATAGGATTCTTTTGATATACATAACAACAAATCAATGGAACATTTCTTTCAAAAAGAAAAAAGCAGTCAACTTGATTCCAAAACATAAGAAAAATGGACTCTCAATATGGGGTTTAGCCATTTCATATTAACCCAAAAGCTTAGATGAAGAGAACCCAGCAGGTCAAAGATATATAAAATACACAACACAAACATGTGATATATGATTGCCAAATGTTCCATATCCGTACCAAGAAAGGGTAATACATACATTTTTAGTACATAATGTTATTATTTTTAAATTTTCTCAAAAGAAATAATAAATCCAGTAAAAAAAAACAAGGATAGATATACTCATCCACTAACCATCTCCCTTAAGAATAGAGGGAGCAGCTTCTTTGGCATAGAAACAAACTGGAATAGCATGCTGCTGATTTAAAAGGATCCCACTGCCATACAACTGTAAAATCATGAAGGAAAAGGAATTTGAGAAATGTTAGGGGAAAAATCAAACTAAAGGAACGAATGCAAGCAGCATGAAATGACTTCACATTATTGCAAAATATAACAGGTGGAAAACACATTAACCATCTCACAACATTAACCCAATGTTTGCTTCCTATTTTCTGTCAGAATCAAAAATGGGAGTAGGAAAAATAGCATGAACTGCAAAAGCTTATCGTTTTGTATCCTCTCTGCCAAAAACTTCCCCAGGAAATCTCAGTACCATATCTTCAAAATCAAGCATCATCTTCTTTTAATAGAGAAACCGCAAATTCCCCAAAAATACGATAAAAATAGTTTAACCAAAATGAAAAGTTAATCCCTTGACCTAACGAAACCTCTCCGCAGCCGTCTTAATTCTACCCTTAAAAAAAAAAATCAAAGAGAACATCTGAACAGAAGTCGGCATTCCTAATCTCACGGGGAGTTGCAAGAGGATAGGAAATGTGAAGATCAAACGGGGATGATGGTAAACTCATCCCGATCTGGCACAGGGAAGGAGCATTACCTGTTTTGATTTCGATAAAAGACGAGAAGAGAATGCCATGATCGGAGATTCTTAGACTCTCAAAGGAGAGTAGTAGCTATTCAATAAAGAACGACAAGATTAAAAAACTGGTGCTTGGGGGGTGTTAGGGTTTGGGCTCAGGGATCGACATGCTATCATCCTTGAGGAATCTTAACCGTCAGATCTATTTTAACAAATCCTATCCATTCAAATAAATAAAATTAAGTGAATTGAAAAGTTCCTTTAAAAAAATGAAATTGCTTTTTTTAAAAAACTTCTTATTCACTAATTTTATGTTAATTCTGTTAATTTTTTGTTACCCTCCAAAAAACTAATCGTAATCATATATTTAATTACTTTTGTCCTTATTATGACTAATATGATTTCTTATTTAATTTTTATTTAATCTTTAGTATGTAAATATAATTTTATTCTCTTTTATGTTTAAAGTTTGTTACTTTTTTATTTTTAAATAAATTATTAATTTATTATTTTTATTTTATTATTTCTAATTATAATTTATAAGAGAACTCAATTAAATTACATTCATCTATTTGAACAATTAATTTTAATTAATAATATAATTTATTACTAACAGTGATCAAATTAACTAGATTTTATATATTTTATATATTAAGTAATAAATATCTTATACTAACAAAAACAAAAATTATAAAATTTAGTAATAATTATGTCACTGTTAAATTCAATGTATTATTTAAACTTATAAACCTAAAACTATTTTTATATTTTTAAGAACTTAATTCATTAACTAGCTTGATTACAAAATATTTTCTTAAGTTATTGAACATATAAGTGCTTAAAAAGATGTGACATCTTTTGCAAAACTAGATTTCTTATTCACTTTCTAAATAAAACTTTTTAAAGAAAAAAAAAATAATGTGTGTCACATATTTATAACATCAATAAAATATTAACAATACATTCCAAATAGTTTAAAACACAAACATACATGAAATTCTAATTATTTAAGCCTAAGCTCACAAGAGCATATGCACACTTCTTACCTCTAGTTTTGTACGGATAATCCACACTTACTATATATTCACATGCATGTTGAACATTTCTCTTATAGATGTTTAAATGAATAATTGTATTGATATTTCCACCGAGAAAACTTACAATTTTTAAAGTATCAGATTTAATAATTACTTTTGTCACATTTTTCCTCCTTATAAGATTAAGGCCCTTCATATACACTCATCAATTTAGTGTGTAAAGAGTTTTGTGGTGCCACAAAGGCTTTCAAGCTAATGCCTCTTGTTATCTCATGTAAGAAGCCCAATATCTTATTTTTCAATTTTAAATACAAATGGTAACATCCATATTGATCTTATGATTCACGAGGAGGAATCCATCTATGGCTTTTTCCCTTATTGGGGGGTGTTTCCATAAGGAGCTAGATCTATTACTTATAATAAAAACGATAATTCAAACCATGCCTTTGATAGAATTTATAAACATGAAAAGGGAACATTAAAAAAAATAAATTTGTTTCTGGTTAACCATATTCACTAATTAACAAATAGGAAAATTTGGTGATATATAGGTTTGTCCCCAAGCTGATGTTAAACATAAATATTATGTTTAAACTAGGCATCTCATATCATGGAAAAGAAATTATTATGATTGCTACGGGGGATAATGCTCTTTCAAAACTTTCCTAAAAGCCCAAGAACGTTACATGCACCATTTGTTTCACTCCCCAATCCTCCATTTTTTAATGTTTCCTCTTCTTCTTTTTTTTCATATACTCTTTTTTTCCTGTGACTTTTGGGTCCTAATCCTTCATCCCCACTTGCTATTCTTCATTTTTTCACGCTTTAGAGGTTTAGGTTCGAAAAAAAGGAAGAGTGAGGACTTCAGTTTCTAAGTTTTTCATAGTATCATGTTATAGACAAATAAAATGATTATGAGAAGTTGAGGTAAGAAATTTTTTTTTGTTTAGGAATAAAGAAAGTAAGAAAAACTTAGATAGAATTTTAGAGAAAGAAAGAAAGAAAAAGGATAATAATTAAATTTTATAACCAAAAAAATATTTTAAGGGCCAATTTGAATAAAATTAGATAGTGCACAGGTAAGTTAGGTATTTAGCTCCCTCTTTTAGAAATGTCCTATCATGCAATAAAGTCTTCTATACACCAGTGTCATTTGCTTTTGCCTTAATTGACTATTTATTCTATCACTATGAATATTCAATATTCAATGCTTTTATCCAGGGTTGATCTTCACTCTTTAGGAAATTATAACCTTGTCTCATAAACAACATCGTGTTTCCTCTCTAGAAAGGTGAATCTCAAGTCCTCTAAGTGAATTTGGTTGATAAATATTATCCCAACCCATTAGGAGTAGCTATGGACCTCCATGATTTCTTTGTCAAATAAATCTGTGAATCTATTAATAAATCTTGTAATAGATTAAGTATCCTAGTGGTTTGAATGAAAATACATAATTATAGTTGCTAAGACAAATTTTATAAAGGTGACCCTCCTAGTTAAAATCAAAAAATTTGACTTCTAACCCTCTATTTTCGAAGTAATGTTATCTAAGATGGAATAATAATCTTTTGCTCTCAAAGATGTTTTGCTTAATATTTGTATTTAGGTATTTCCAAAAAGTTATAACTTATGAGTCTTGACTTGAATGGTACAAGGATTGCTAAATTTACCTTCTCACTTAACATTTGATGAAATGTGCCCAAAGCTTGTAACGGCTCCGGAAATTCAAAAGGAAATACATATAATAATTTGAGTACAGAAGTGAAATAAAAAATTAAGGTTAACATCCCTTACACAATAATTTGACAGTACTAAACAATATCACAGAATAAGTTCTCAAAAAGGAATACGAGAAATGAGAAAAATAAAGGAAACTATAAAGTATATAGCATCTACTCGGCGTATTCTTGTGGATCGGGCTCGGGAACCAAGTCCTCCTGATCTGAAATGGTTAAATAAGGAATGAGCTACACTATCCCAGTAAGGACATCACATTATATCACCGTCACAGAAGCAAAGATTAGTAGAAAATAAAAAAATAACCAGTGGAGCACAAATTTTAAACTAATATATTTATTTAAAATAAAATTACTTATCCTTTTTTGTATCATTGGAGAACCTGTGAAAACAACCTATAAAGACAATAACATCATACAGATCACAATTTCATGCATAATCAGTAATATAAAACACATCATAAATCCGTATTCATTAACAATAACTGATTATCATCGTTTCTCGTTTTCACTAGCTCACTAATATCCATGGAGATCCATAGGGGTGTTCCCGCTACACGTGAACTCTTCTTCTTAACTGTTTTAATTCCAAGACCGTCTCCATACCCCGTCCGGTATGACGCTAAGACATTAAACCTCAATACCCCGTCCGGTATAAGGGTGAAGCGAGCCGTTCCCATACCCCGTTCGATATGAGTGCCAAATGACCAAGTCTCCATACCCCGTCCGGTATGAGACGACGTTCACGGTAGGGTTTCCTATGAATCCGGCTTCTAGAATATCTAGTGAGGCTGTACCTTATCTGTTTTCCCTTAGTCTTCGTTACCAAGTTGAACATAATCACATAAACAATAAACAAGCACCCGGTAATACAATCATATCTTAAATTCTAAAATCACATAGTGATCAAGTAAGACAGTAACAAATGCATTTAAAACCATAGAATAGATAGACCATATACCATAATGCATTTAAACTGTAAAATAAATCAAGTAGGAATCGATAGAGAATAATGTTCGATTTCCGGCTCCATTAGCAACCTTAATTAATTATGCATATCTATTAATTTTCACAAAATACAGTATTACCATTTATTGAAACTTTAATTCCATGATAGCAAATAGGGTGAGAGGTCCTTACTTAATTTGACGCCGAAAACTAGATTGTTACTGCGTCTACGGGCGGTCCTCGGGTTCCCTGAATTTTTTTTCAAGAACTGAAACGCGCTTACGGTACCTACACATGTCCTAAATAACCCAAAAAATCAGACCTAGGGCCTACTCAGCCAATTTTAGAATTCCAGCACAGCAGCTCCGCCGTGCTCCGGCGACGGTGCTGCAGCTCACAGCGGCGATTCGTCTCAGGTTTGCTGTCTTCAGCCTTTTTTGGCCAAATTCAGCCAAAATTGCATCGGTTCCGGTGAGAAAACACACTTAGGGCCCTCGGTGGGTCGTAAAAATGTGGAAAACTGAAACTCACCGGCGGTGGGGCTCTCCGGTGCGGCGGCTTCACTGGCTCACGCTGCAGTTGGATGTTTTGCTCCGGTCAACCTGTAGAGGAGGAAACAGTGATCGCAACGGTGAAAAAATCACATCGAACGGAAATCGGGAAAGGCCTTATCGGAGGCAAAAATTGAAACACCCCGCGACGGTGCTGCTGAGCTTCAGCGGCATTTTCTGGCCAATTGGTCGGTGCTTTAGCTTTGATTTAGCGATGGGTGGGTTTGGAATTAAATTCTGAGCAAAGAGTAGAATTTTTACCTTGTTTGGCGGCCAATAATTGCTCCGGTGCGGCGGCGGGTGGCGGCGGTTGGCTCTCCAACAGCTGGGCTGTCTTCTCCGGTGAGGGGCTCTAGCGGCTAGGGTTAGGGTTAGGGTTTGGGTGCGGATGAGGTTATTTATACCCATCCACTTTTGATATGGGGCATCCATCGCTTTTAATCTGGATCATTCGATCACGATTAAATAGGAAGTGAATCTGGATCGTTCATCGCGATTCAATCTGAGCTGTCCGTGCGCAATTTAATCTGGGTCATCCGTACGCGATGCAATCTGGGCCGTCCGTGTGCGTTTTTGATCTAGGTCGTCCGTGCGTGCGGGAATGGATCTCAGTCGTTCGATCGTGCGCACGTGGATCGCCCACGTGGCTTCCTCTCGCGTGGCCTCCCGCGTCAGTGTCTCTGCCACCTGGCGTGTCCTGGTTGGTCGGGGTTGCTGACCAGGCAGTTGACATGGCATAACTTTTCTAAATTACGTTTTGACCCCCGATTTCTGATTTTTCTTTCAA